TCCCTCCCTCCCTCCCTCCCTCCCTCCCTCCCTCCTCCTCTCCCTGCCTGCCTGCCTGCCTTCCTTCCTGCCTGCCATCAGCTCTCTGCGCTCCTCCTCTCTCATCGTCTCCATCCCTCCCCTTCTCTCTCATCATCTCCATCCCTCCCATTCTCTCTCATCATCTCCATCACTCACTCTGGATCATACGTGTACCGATGCATCATGATATGCAGCTCGTCTTGAACATCATCGTCATACTTGCAACACTCATCATTTCATGTCACCATCATCCATCCCGCACTTGTCAAACTCCGTCTCCTTGTACTGATGAACGCGGAAACCTGTTTGCTTGTCCCCATGAGAACTCTCGACATGCTCGCAACAGCAACACACCTCCAGCATCGGCGAGATGGGCCAGGAACCTTACAAGACACGTTCAACACCTTGGAAGCAGTGAAGTTGTAAAGACAATCTCATCTCACATGAAGGAGAAGGGTCTGTTCATGAAGATGGAGTAGACGATCACCTGGACACGGCACATCTCACAACTAGACAACCAATCACAACAGCAAGTTAACATCTCTATGGCAGAATCTCTGCAGCGTCCACAACAACTCCTCGTGTACTTCAGGGATACTGAACACTTCCGCTAAGATCACAATGTCAAACTTCACATCTCCCGCTCTTGACAGCGGAGACTGGTCCCAGTACTGCTCTCCCCACCTGGTTTGATCGTTGTCAGGCCGATGGAACAACAGGAGGCAAAACCTCACGTCAGCTCCTCCACTGAGATCGATCCTCCCTCCACCTTCCTCTCCTCCATGGAGCCTCCGATGCACTTGACGATGTACTCCCTCCCTCCTGTCTTGACCCCTCGCTCCTCCTCTTCCTTCCACTGCTTGATGTTTGCTCCCAGCACGTCGAGATCCCCCAGGGAGGTGTTGGTTGCCGTTACCTGCGCCCCCATCTCGTACAGCCCCCATGCCAGGTGCCCCACCCCAGCCCCTAGCTCAAGGATGCGTTTTCCTTTGATCTCCTCCTTCATATTTGTCCTACCATCCCACCTTGTAATCAGCAAGAGCTCGGCGCCTCCGTCCTCTGACCTGAAGTAGTTGAGCAGCAGGAGCGAAGCATTCCACACTATCCCCTCTCCTTCGTTGCTGAAGTCTGCGAGCCGGCGAGCCATCTGCCAGCTCAGGGGTGAGCAGGAGCAGGAGCAAGAGCAAGAGCAAGAGCAAGAGCAAGAGAAGCAGGAGCAGGAGCAGGAGCAGGAGCAAGAGAAGCAGGAGCAGGAGCAGGAGCAGGAGCAGGAGCAGGAGCAGGAGCAGGAGCAGGAGCAGGAGCAGGAGCTAGCTGAGACAGCAGCTCCCACATCAACAGCTGCTATCCTAACATGCCCTCCACATCCCCCTGCCCTCCCCTGGCCTCCTGCAACGATCGCTGTTGCCTCCCTGCTCTCCTCTCGTCCTTTCCTCCTCTCTTCTCCTCCTCTCTTCTCCTCCTCCCCTCCTCTCACTTCCCTTGATTGCTTCCTCCCCCTTCCATCTGCTCTCAAACCCTCCAGCATTCTCCCCGGCTCCCTCCTGCTCCTCCCTCTCGCCCACTCCCCCTCGCCTGCTCCTGCATTGTTCGGCCGCATCTCGGAAAACCTTCAAAGGATTTATTTTTTACCCCAGGTCAACAAATGCAGCGGGGAAATGGGGGGAGGGGGAGTTTGTGCAGGGGAAGGACATGGCGGGAGGGAGGAGGCGGGCAGGGGGGGGGTAGGAGAGGAGAGAGGAGAGAGGAGAGGAGAGAGGAGAGGAGAGGAGAGAGGACGGCAGCAACTCACTTATCAGTATCAGCAGGAGGAATGGCGAGGGCGGGAAGAAGTGAGCTGTAAACCTGGCTGAGTGTTGGAGCATGGCGAGGAGCAGGGGGCGCCTGCTGTTCGGCATTTCGGTCATGCTGACGATCAGCACCACGTGTGACAGCCATGGCGGGAGCGTCCTGAGCACCATCGTCCACTGCTGGAAGCCGAAGATCGACCAAGTGTGCGAGCGGGCCATGAGCTTCAGCAGGGCCATCGAGGAGATTGGTGAGGGTCCGACGAGCAGCATGGCACTGAGCAGGGACATGGCGATCGAGCCGCACGTCAACCACAGCATCATGATGCACATGGAAGCTATCGACATGCACCTCTCCGCCATCGGCGGCTTCCTGTCGGCGCTGAAACAGGGGCCCAGGAGCCCGACCCAGGCTAGCAGGGGAGGGACGGTAGGGGATCCGTCGGAGGTGCTAGCGGAGGGGATGTGCAGCGCAGCGTTCAAGGGGGACCTGAAAACTATCAAGATGCTGATACAGAACGGAGCCGATCCCGACGCCTGCGACTACTTCCACCGGACTGCGCTGCACCTTGCGTCGGCTGAAGGTCACGTTGAGATAGTCCGGTACCTGCTGTCCATCAAGGCGAGGGTGGACTGTGTGGACAAGTGGGGAGGGAGTCCTCTGACAGACGCTGTGCGTGCCGGACACGAGCAGATCCAGAAGCTCCTGCTCGACGCTGGGGCCGGGAGATCCTCCTCTCAGCCCCGCAACGCTCGTCCTGGGCAGCAGGAGAGTTGGCTGATCCGGAGGGAGGACGTGAGGATGGGCAGGAGGCTCGGGGAGGGAGATCAAGGAGTCGTACTGCAGAGCGAGTGGAGGGGGATGCCCGTGGTGACTAAGATCCTCAAGGATGCAGAGAACGTAGAGCAGCAGCATGGGTTCCTGCACGAGATATCCGTCCTCTCCCGGCTGCGCCACCCCAACCTCGTCCTCTTCCTCGGAGCCTGCCTGGACTGGGACCCCAAGTTCATCGTCACCGAGTACCTCGAGGGAGGGAGCCTTGAGAGCTTCTTCGAGAGGAAGAGGCTCGAGAACGGCATGCAAGACTGGCAGCCGACCGTCTCCCAGGTGCTCATATGGGCAACGGACCTCGCCCGGGCTCTGTGCTGCCTCCACCAGCTCTCTCCTCCCGTCATCCACCGAGATCTGAAGCCTAGCAACCTCCTCCTGACCTCGGAAGGTCACCTCAAGCTCTCCGACTTCGGGCTCAGTCGCGTGCTTGATAAGGGGAAGAGCGGGGGAAACTACAGAATGACTGGAACCACGGGCACGATCCGATACATGGCGCCCGAGGTCGTCCGCAGCGACCTCTACAACGAGAAGGCAGACATCTACAGCTACGGTCTCGTCCTCTGGTTCATGTGCACGGGGGAGCTCCCCCTCCAGGGCTTCGTCCTCGACGAATTCGTTCAGGTAACCCACGCAGCTACTCCTTCTCCTCCTCCTCCTCCTCTTCCTCTTCCTCTCCCTCTCCCTCTTCTTCCTCGTCCTCCTGGTCCCACTCGTCCTCTTCCTCGTCCTCCTGGTCCCCCTCGTCCTCGTCCTCCACGTCTCATCCTCCCCTCGTCCTCAAGAGGTCCTCATCTCCAAGCAGGCAGCTCACAGGCAGCTGGCCCTTCAGCCCGACTTGGCTCGTATCGGGTTTAAGCCCTTGGCCGACGTCATCGCCATGTGCTGTCAGGCGGACGCTAACAGGAGGCCAACGGTGAGGGGAGGGAGGCGTGTGGGAGGCGTGTAGGAGGCGTGTATGTGCAGCCTGGCTGAATGACGCACAGGCTGGAGATCTGATTCAAGAGTTGAGCTACATCAGCCCTCCAGCAGACCCCCACAGGAAGGCAACGGACCCGCCGCCGGCATGAGGCGTTTGGTTCTCAAAATTCATTGACATAAATAGAAGTATTCATCTCAAGTATCAGCAAGCAGGGTGACATTGTACATATAGGGTAATGAAACATGACTCGAGTCGTTAACACCGAATATTATGACATATGGTACACACAGATATGAACAGGGGGCGCTCCATGGAGCGAACTGCCGATCCCTCGGCAACGTGTGTTAGCTCCTCTAGAGTCCAGCTCCTGCAGGGCGGTCGATCAGCGCTGCGCCCCGCTCCAGCGAAACGATCCCCTTACCTTCACCGTTGTCATGGAGAAGCAACTCGGGCATTTCTTCGATGGAGTCGCTCTTCACAAGAACCTGGACGGGAGGAGCTGTGTGTTAGCAGTCTGATCAGACCGACCGATTGTTCTCACCCTTGCCATGAAGTTTCGGTGATCGCCCTTGGTGGATTCGAGAGTAGCCGGGGTGAGGAGGTCTACAGCCAAGCACGTCTTCCTCGCGATGGCGGGGTCTATCTCCTCTTCTCTGCTCCTCACGTCCGTCTCAACCTCTTCATCCGCTCCAACATGGATCTCTTGCGTCCCGCAGATCTCGTCCACATAACCGACGATATCAGGAGTGAAGCATTCATGACAGACGGCGTCCCTAGAACTGATCCTGTGCGCCGGGTTCTTCTGCAGCAGCTTCTCTATCAGATCCTTCACTTGATGGCTGCATTCAAGGCCCCATGAAGGGTCTGGGAACGGTACAGGATCTTGATTGTGAAGCTCAGCCGGTAAGAACGGGCTAAAGCCGAAGATCATCTCGTATAGTATAATTCCACACGCCCATACATCAGTCCCCATCGAAACCTCCAGCGAGTTGATGATGCACTCCGGCGCGATGTAGCCAATGGTTCCCATCGCAGAGGATGCAGCCATCGCAGAAGATTTGCCCTTGGTGTCGGTTGCGAGCCCAAGATCGATGAGCCAGGCCCGGGAAGTGTCTGTAACCAGTACATTCCTTGGAGACACATCCCTGTGTACAAACCCTTGGGAATGCATATGGGCAAGCGCTCTTAGCACCTGAAGGATAACAATGCATGATTCCTTTTCTGCTATAGTTCTCTTGACTTGCATCAGTTCCTTGAGCTCCTTGCCCGCAACATAGTCTAGTATCATGATGATATTCTGACCATCCTGATAGTAACCATACATCATCGGTATGTTTGGATGCCTGCATCGTGAGTGAATATCCACTTCACTTTCAACGGAAATTCCATGGCAAGCAAATTCTTCCTTCTTCACACATTTCAAGACAACTTGGTCACCCTCTCGAGGGAGCTTCCAGATTTTCCTGAAGATGGTCGACCCTTTCCAGTCTCCTTTATTCGTCCTGTTCAGCGCAAGAACCACTTTGGCAAAGGTCCCCTCCCCCAGCTTATCCAAGACTCTCACACCCGATTGCTTGGGAAGAATTGCTTGCAGACCACAGAGTTCAGGGGACTGTGGGAGCCTTGCATAGTCCATAATGTCCGTGAAGCTATGCTGGCGCTTCATTCTGTTGGATCTCTGCCGGCAAGGCCCTGCCTCCTTCGCCTTGAACGGATTGACTGGTCTTACAAACTTGTTGGCTTCAAGCGACAGGCTCCTGTCAGACCGAGGAACTAGCTCCGGAGTGGGAGCTGAACTGAGATCCTTCGAGAGATCATGGAGGAACTTGTCTTCGATGTCATGGCAGTCAATCTCTGAATCATGCGGGATGGGAGCTGGTCCCGTGACATGGTCTGTGTGGGAGGATTCTTCCTGGTCCTCGTTAAGAACCTCAAGGGCATCTTTCCACGAGTGCCTTGACATGGGAGAGTTCGGGCTATCCACGTACGGACACCGAAAGAGCATCTCCTCCACTCCGTTGTCCAACAGCACAGCCCTCGAAGTGTGAGAGTTTGCAACTGCATGCCCGCGGTGGAACGTGCCGACAAAGGGTGAGTTAGCCGGCAAGCTCCTACTCTTCTTCACTTCTAGCAGGTCGGTATCATCATGCAAGCTGTAACGAGACGAACCAGAAATAAGACTGCCTGCCTTCTCCAGCGAGGCCATTTGTCAGTACCTGCTCGATATCATGTCAGAGACGAAAGCATAACCATCATAGAGCTAGGAGCGAGTGGACATGGAGCTCAGAGGCGCGACAACATTGTGAGAAATTCCGCTGCAACCCAAACGCAACAGAGCAGGCGCAACTCAACACAGAACGGAAGGTATCAGGAGGACGGGGTTGGGGCCATGAGTTACCGTAGCAGGAGGACCGCCGGGCAACTCCAGTGACAGGCAGGAAGGAACCAACGGGGCGCAGCGGGACCGGAGCAGGAGTGCAGAGAGCTGTAGAGCAGGTGAAAGGGGAGGAGATGGTTCTCGGTGCGTCACAAAAGAAAGGGGGTGGGTCCTGTTGGATCTGGTACGGGAGTTTGTACCGTCGTACTATCTCGAGGGGGCCCTGGTAGAAGGAGATATGAAAAGATTGTACCAAAAATTTATATGTACTTGTTAAATGTGTACCGATTGACCTTTGAGAAGGATTGAGAGATGATGCCGCATTTACCAGTTGGCTGTTATTGTTTTTAAGTTTATTGTGAATCTTAATCCGATTTGTGTCCTGTCATCCATTTCACCCGAAAATAGTTTATATTTTATTGCATCAAAACTGTGTTCAGAAATGCTGGCTATTAAACGTCAATTGTACCGTAGAGATTCTCTCAATCATCTTCTGTACATTCTCTCGCTGCCTCTGTGTGTTATGACCTCTTATTTTGCTTGCGCCAACTCTATCATAAATGCACCACCCCCTTCTAAAATACTTATAGTTTTAGGCCACAAGTGTTTTAGAAGAAGGACCCGGTCCTAAAAATCGAGGGGGGTACGATCACTGGATAAAAGGGGGTGGGTAGTACAACAGTTTGCAAGAATGTGTATTTTTAGGAGGACCGTTCATTGATGAAGAGGGGGTGGTACCCTCCCCTACGATTGTAAAAGGGGGTGTACAGATTGCAAGGAATGACACATTCTTCAAGGGTGGGGTACTTGTATGAGAAAGTTGGGGTACAATCTAGTCGTCGGGTGGGTAGTTGTTCGAGAGCATGCCTTCCAAAGCATGTTTGGGGAGAGTGAGGTTTATGGGGTGGGGGTAGTAGGGGGGCGCAAAGGAACCTATCGAAGGTCAATTCTAATGAAGTGGGTAGGGTCTCGATAAAACGAGGAATTTTGTCTGAAAAAGGTGGGTCCACAAGTGGATATTAGAGGGTACAAAGGCGAAACGTAAGTCGTCAACAGGGGTAGGGTGAGAAGAGGGTGGGGGGCCGCTTCTGGGGTGAAACAATAATACATTTTCTTCGCCATAAGAGTTATTTTCTGAGAAACAAAAAAACAAATAGACGCCTAAATCGATGTAAATTTGCTGTGTAAAACTTTGTGATACTTCTACGTACTGGGAGATTGAAGGCTACATTGTTTTATGTGATTTTATTATATTTTATGAGCTCTTTGTCATTGTATGATTTAGTCGCGGCCGCTGAGGCGCCGGGCGCCGGCCGGGCCGGGGCCGGGGACCCGGGCCGGCGGGGCGGGAGTACGGTCCCGGGCCCAGTCGGCCAGTCCGTCACCGCCCGGCCGGGGTGCAGAGCAACGCTGAGCCGGCGGCGCGCTGCGGCGCGCGGCTGCTGCACCGAGTCGGAGCGGCCGGTCCGGGTCCCGCCCCCCAGGCCCGGTGACTCAGCGGGCCCGCCGGGCCCACTGGGCCAGTGGGTCACTGGTTGTCGGATCGGACTCGATGACTCCAACTTAGGCAAGTTAGTCACATCCTCGTCGGAACTTCCTGAAGTTCGCCGCTGTCACCGTGACTGCCGGGGCACTGGCAGTCACTGCTGGCCCGGCGGGCCGGCCCGGGCCGGCGGCCGGCGCGGCCGGGCCGGGCGCCGCGCCGAGCTGCTGACCGTCCGGCCCCGGACCGTGACTCGCCAGTGAGCCTCGGAGTCCGACGATCCATCCATCGGCCGGCCGGGCAGGCCCGAGGCGTGCGGCCGCGCCGGGGCCCGCCCCCGGACTACGGTCGGAATCGCAGCCGGGCCCGCCGCGGGGCCGGGCGGCCCGGCTGCGGCGGGACTCACTGTCCGTTCCCGGCGAGTCCGCCTACGAGTCCGCTGCGGCGGCCGGGCGGCGCGGCGGAGAGTCGGACTCCCGGCGGCGCGGCCGCCGAAGTTGCCAGAGCGGCGGTCCGATCAACGCTGATCGGAATCGGCGGATCGGACTCTGATCGGCTCAGAGTCAACTTGGCAAGGCTGCGGCCCGGCGGCTGAGGGGCGGCCGGCCGGCCGGCCCTTGCTGACAGTACGGTGTCTCACTCACACAGAGTCAGGCTTATATTAGAGATTGCCAAACCTGAAACTTGAAACTTTCAAAATCAGTGAAAACTTTGAGGACGGGATCCGGGCGTGGCCGCCCGGCCGCATCAGTCATCCGTTGCCGCTCAGCTTCGAGCTTCCGACTCTCCGATCGGATCTCCAGGCCCTCGGAAAATCTTGACTCTCAAAGGCCTTATGATCGTATGATTCAACTTTCACGTATCGCCGCGCACTGCACTCAGCCTGGCCAGCGGCGGCCAAGTCACGTGAGTTTGCCGAGATCCGTGATCAGTCAGGTACTCCCAACCGTTGAGCTTCCAGTGGTAAGAACGGTCAGCCTGCAGTACCGGCATCATCCGGACTTGTCCGAAAGGGTCACCGTGACCCCGGGAACGCTCCAGAGCGCAGTGTTGAGGCGAGCCCTCACTACGACCCACCAGAACCCCCACCCACCGGACGTACGAAAATGTTGGGCAAACCACGGGTCCGTAACTTTAGGACGCAACGAAGTGAGGGAGAACCGTGACCTTGCTGACAGTCAATTTACTCCTGGCTGACAGTTGCGACCGGTGTAACGATAAAAAAAGATATTTTACCGTAGTACGTCGTTTTACAGGCCGGGCTCTGCGGTACCAATCCTGAGGGCACTTTACTACATGGTATGGTGGCTGAGATATCTACCCCAAGACCTCGTAGCGCCGCCGCCCTTGAGGAGGTTTTGCCCCTTTGTCTCGTGATTCGAACCTCGCTGTCCTTTGCTTTCCGTCCTCCTCCATCTCAACAACGTGATCAGAAAGGTGCCAGGAAGCAGTTCTCAGCAACAGAGAGGCATCCCATCGGTTCACGTGTCATCCACTTTCACTGCAGTTGTCTTGGAATGTGGAAAAGACTGCTGATCTCCCTCACAACGGCATTGACAACCATCCTTATGATCCTCTCGGAGATTTGCTTTGAGGAAATTATGTCGAACCTAGATCAAACAATCGGAACCTGCCCGGAAGTAAGAAATGATATGGTCCTATCAAATACGGGGTCTTTCGACAAACGAAAATTACTTCGACCGCAATTCGGTCAAACTTTCATTGTACGAAGAGTTTCCTGCATGAATACATAACTCAATTGGATGAAAATTGTATCAAAACCTTCAAAATGATTTGAACTGCTCCGCTTTCAATGTTGAGCAACTGCTGAAGTGCAGGAAATTATACATCCGTTTTCGTAAAATTCCACTCGTTTCACCTGGATCCTGCAGGTCATTACAAGGTATTCTTGCCCGGCATCAACTTGTCACAAGTCAGTCAGTTAGCCACGAGTAGAAGTGAGTGAATGTGTTTGCTCCTTTCCTCTCCCATTCCCATTTATTATTCTTTTATACTCAGAACTATGTTACGAAATTGTTCATCAATGAAAACATTCTGAGAAATCCTGATGATCCAAACACTCAGTCCAGATCAGGCATGTTTTGCCTGTTCTCATCTGAAGTTAGTTTAATCTTGTAGCATCGAAGGAAGAAAGTGTGACATTTGTGCAACATCGAAAGAACTCAGTTGAAGCTCGTGGAATGGCAGCGTTGGCTTTTCAAGTTTCTTGATCTGACATACGAACTATGGTGTGAAACAACATTATCAAAGTTTTGCAACTTGTAGACTCACTTTGTGAGCGGTGCAAAATTGCCAACTATATTCGTTTCAAATTGATTTCAGGAGAATTCACTTTCTTTGTGATTGTCAGTCCGAGAGTACACGAGGGTAGAAGTTGAGAGCACACGAGTGAAGTTTTGCAAGCCAGCAATGAAGAAGGAAAGTTGCATTCCTCACAGAACAGCAAAAAATTGATCAGAAAAGCAAGGCTTGCGAGTATTGAATCATCGAATTAAGATGCAGCGGACAGGTCAAACCTGAGAGTGGGTACTTCATGCATTCAAGAAGTACACTGGAAGTTCGAGATGTACGAGACATATGGCAGGAAATTCAACACAGCATGAAGAATTGTAATGTTCCGTCTGGAACTTGAATGTCGTTTGATGTCATTCGAGCCCTTTACACTAAGTTGATCCGTCATGGCAACTGACTTGACAGACTTCTGAATGAGTCAGTCATTCAGTCAGTCAGAGAAAGAATAAAAATCGAGGAGTCTAAGAAGAACAGATTCGACTGTGACCTACTGACTGATGAATCGTAAATCAATCTCTACAAAGTTGAGAAACAAAAGACAGCTCCCTGTGTAGACAAGCAAGCAAGAAAACGATTTCAAAGCGTTTCTTCACTATATCTCATATTGCGGGTAAAGCATCCTCCATCTCCAGTATGTTCTATACGTTTCCTCGAGTACTTGGGTTGCGCATCTCATGCGGACATGACGGCTTGACTGGGCTGACTGCGGACTTGCAAGTGCCGACATGTCGTGTGATTGTCTACCTCCTCCTCCTCCTCCTCTGGTCCTCCTCTGGTCCTGCTGCTGGTCCTGCTGCTGGTCCTGCTGCTGGTCCTGCTGCTGGTCCTGCTGCTCCGGCTCCCTCTCCCCCTTCTCCGTCTCTCGTATAGTCCGTAGCTCCTGTTACATCCCCAGACTGCCCCGCCAGTCCCGTCCCCCTCTCTCCGCCTGCTCGAAGAACTTCTGAGCGTGAGACCGCACCTGCGCCTCGCTCCTGGTCCCCACTGCTTCCGCAATCCTCCTTGCTGCTCCTCTGCCCAGCCCCACCCTCAGCCTCCCTCGCTCATCTCTGAGCCCCGTCACCTGCCGCACAGACACATTCCTGGGGAGAGCCTCGAGGAAGCAGACTTGCTCGTCCTGCGTCCACATGCGACGGGAGAGCTGGGCTTCGTTGGGGCATGCAAGAGTGAGATACGAGGAATCTGTCCCACCCGAAGTGTCTGCGGGAGACTTGAAGGAGTTTGGGGGAGAGGAAGCGAGGGTTGGGCCAGAGTCTGAGAAGGGCGAACGTTGGTTGACTGTGCAGGAAGAGGATAGGCTGTGAGCTGGCGACAAGCTCGAGGAGGAGGATGGAGAAGAGTAGACGTCCTCTGGGTAGAGAGCTGCGATCGCCTCATCGACAGTGAGCTCGGTTGCCATGATTGCGCTCGACATGCTGTGGGTGCGCGTGTGGAGGAGGGGAATAGATGTCGAAGCGTTGCGAACTGAGACATCAAGGTCTCAAGATGCGGCTTTTCAGATGATAAAGACTCAGTATGCAACGTTTGGGAAGGCAGTGCTGCGAACTGAAGTGTTTTCAATGGGGATACTGGGAGTTGCGATCCAACCGGTTCCAAGACAGAGGCTCATAGGGAACGGAGGAGGTTTGCAAGTAATGGGGCGAGATGTTCATTAGAATCGATGAGGTTGATGGAAAGGAGGGTCGATCTTGGCCCACCCGAAGATCTCCATGTACCCTGCGAGCATCAGTTAGCGCGTGTAGCCTCCAGCACATCTCCTTCTTCCTCCTTCCTCCTCCTTCCTCCTTCCTCCTCCTACTACTTCCTCCTCCTCCTCCTCCTCCTCCTACTACTACTACTACTACTACTACTACTACTTCCTCCTCCTCCTCCTCCTCCTCCTCCTCCTACTCTTTGCTGAGCGATTCCAGGAGAAGTCTTGTTGCATGCAGCGTTTCACCAGCTCTGAGCAAGGCACAAATGTTAGCAGCTACCACAACATGCTCTGCACCTCCTCCTCAGCCTCAGCCTCCTCCGCCACCAGCTCATCGTCAGCCTCCTCCCCATCCTGTGGCTCTCCCTCCACCACCACAACCTCCTCCTCCTGCTTGTGCTCCTTGTCGTCCTGTCCCTCCTCGTCGTCCTCCTCCTCCCCCTGAAGTATCCGCTCCTTTCTTGATCTTCACAACCCCCTCGGTATCTTTGCTCGACCAGACTCTTCCCGCACTAATTCTCCACCCTCCTCCTTCCTCCACTCCCTCCTCGTACCTTCCCTCCCTCCGCTCCCTCCACTCCCTCCCTCACCTTGCCATGCCTCCTTGTGGTTCTTGTAGGTGTTGAGCGCATGCCAAAGACCGAACTTGACCCCCTCCGCGTCACATCTGCGAGGACGTCAGGGTCGCCGACGTGAGACGAGGAGCAGGCGCAAGAGCAGGAGAAGGAGAAGGTGCAGGAGGAAATACAGCAGCAGCAGCAGCAGCAGCAGCGGCAGCCAGCAGCAGCCATCAGCAGCAGCAGCAGCAGCAGCAGCAGCAGCAGCAGCAGCAGCAGCAGCAGCAGCAGCAGCAGCCAGCAGCAGCAGCAGCAGCAGCAGCAGCAGCAGCAGCAGCAGCAGGGGCAGCAGCAGGGGCAGCAGCAGGGGCAGCAGCAGGGGCAGAGGCACGACAAAGGGGTCGGAAGGGTCACCTGTCGAATTTCCAGCCTGTCCCCGTACCCTGCAGCATGTGCAGGTGAGTGGATAGTGAGAAAGACCGCAGGAGGGGCAGGGGGAGCAGCGGCTGGGGCAAGACGAGCAGGAGGAGTAGGATCATGAGCAGCAGCCAGAGGAGGACGAGGAGGACGAGGACGAGGACGAGGACGAGGACGAGGATCATCATCACGGAGAAGTTACATGGAAGTCAGGAGCAGGAGCAGGAGCAGGAGCAGGAGCAGGAGCAGGAGCAGGAGCAGGAGCAGGAGCAGGAGCAGGAGCAGGAGCAGGAGCAGGAGCAACAGGTAGGACCTGGAAGGGGTCGTACTGCTGCACAGAGTCTTTCAGCCCTCCTGTCGCGTGTACCACCTGTAGAGGAAGAGCTGAGCTGGAGCTGGAGAATTTGCGAGGGTAGTTCTCACCGGCACAGTTCCATATCGCTGGGCATACATCTAGGGCATGAGGCAGGGGGGACCGAGAAAGGACGGGAAGTGGAGCAGAAACAGGTGGAGGGTGGAGAAAGAGAGGGAGAAGGAGCAGGAGCAGGAGCAGGGTCAGGAGCAGGGTCAGGGTCAGGGTCAGGAGCAGGAGCAGGAGCAGGAGCAGGAGCAGGAGCAGAAGCAGGAGGAGCAGGAGCAGGAGCAGAAAAGGAAAATTCTCAGAGTATTAAACCAACCAAGTGTAAAAATACCTGAGGAAGTCCGCATGGTTCGTACCTGCCAGATATTCTTTTAGAGCCCCTCACGCTCCTTCCTCCTCACGGCTCCTCCTTACCGCTCCCCTGCTCTTACCTCCCCTTCACCCCCCTCAGCTCTCCCTCGCTCTACCTGTCCCCACTCCTCTTCCTCCTCTCCCTCCTCTCCCTCATCCTCCTTATTCTCCTGCTCTTCGTCTTCGTCCTGCTGATCTCCCTCATCCTGCTTCTCCTCCTCGTCCTCCCCGCTTCCTCGTCCTACTTCTCCTCCTCGTCCTCCCCGCTTCCTCGGCTTCTGCATCTCACCTCGACGGCATCAAAAGGATGTCTGCTCCTGCAATGATCTTGTGCTCCAGCTCAGACGTGAACCCAACGTAACCTAGCAGCCAAGTCATGCAGCCGACAAGAGGGAGGGAGGGAGGGAGGGAGGGAGGGAGGGAGGGAGACTAGGTAGGGAAGCAATCAGACAGGCAGGGAGCTAGGGATGTGGAGGAAAATCATTCACCAACGACTCTTCCTTTGTTGTTGTTCTCAGCGTTTCTCAGGAAGTTGGCATATCTGCGGGAAGAGGTTACAGAGGCTGGCAAGGAAAAGGGAAGCAGATGGGGGAGAAAAAGAAAAAAGGGGAAAAGGAGGACGAGGAGCAGGAGGAGCAGAAGGAGCAGGAGGAGCAGGAGGAGCAGATGCACGAGGATGGAGGAAGGAAGAGAAAGAGGAAGGGAGGAGGCGGATGAGGAATTTTCTCACTTCTCGTCTCCAGTTCCCATCATAATGAGCTGCACGTAGCCTGTCACGCCGTTGGGGTCGCCGTTCATGAGCCTTGAACAAGCATGAGGAGAAGATGAGAGAGAAGATATGGCAAGATGAGAGGGAAGAGGACGAGGAGGGAGAGGAGGAGGAGGGGGCAAGGGCAGGGGCAAGGACGAGGGCGAAGAGGATGTAGGAGAAATTGAGATCAATGAATTACCAGCCAAAGATTGACTCGATCACGTCGATGCCTTTCTGATAGGCTGCAAGAGATTTGAGCTAGTGACATGAAGGAACAAGAGGAAGATAGTACTAGGAGAAGTGGGGGGGAGACGGGAGGAAAAGGTTGCGGAGAGGAAAGGAGAGCAGGGCAGGGCAGGGCAGGGCAGGGCAGGGCAGGGCAGGGCAGGGCAGGGCAGGGCAGCGAAAAAGATGAAAAGGAGAGGAGAGGTTGGCACCAAGTCGTCCGATGAAAGCTACGATGGGAACATTGGGATCC